TCTCAAGTTTATATTTGAAAAAATAGACAAATAGATATTTATTTTTTCTCTAGATTTCTATTCAAACAAAAAATGGCAAGTGATAAAACATTCTGTTGTACATGTAACAAAGAAAGAATTACTTGTCTTTGTGATGGATGTTCAAAAAAATATTGTTTTATTGATTTAACAGGACATTATTAAAGATTACATGAAGAATCCCGTGATATTACTGATAGTTATGGTGCATTTGAACAAACAACAGTGAAATACGACCGTATATGGTCGTATTTTTTCTGGATACAGTGGTATTCAATCGTTTGCGAAGTTCGTAATGATTGACCTGGGGACGTTTAAAAACAATTTAATGACTTACATGAACAAACAAAACAAGTTTATAAAGACAAGGCATTTAATGAGAAGGAGTTGAATTACTTGAGAAATAAGTTAATGAAAATTACACAGCAATTAAATAATCCGTCGAATACTTCTATTCAACAAAGTTCACCATCATTTATTAATGAAATTTCAGTTATTCAATTAAAAAGTAAGTTTTTAAGAAATAATTTATAGCAGAGTAATTCTCATTTTCTAAGAATTAATGTTAAAAATCTATAAAAACAAAGGAAAGTGATGACGAAGAAGATAAAAACAATTTAGAATACTATTGATTCATTTAATCAATAATAATAGAATTCATAGAAATAGAACATTCAGTTTATTTGTATGTAAAAGAAAAGAATAATAAAACATGAAATAATACTAAAAGAAAAAATTAATTTTTCTTCAGAGTTTAAAAAGATATGTTTGATAGATAAAAACAAAATTGAATTATTTTCAAATTTTTATTTTACAGAAAATCAGTCAGCGAAGTCTTTTCTTATTTTAAATTTTTCTTCTCTTTTCAAATTAAATATTCGTTAATTTGTATCACAAATAAGCTAGATGTTCCAATAAAAATATTCTTTCTCTTTAAAAATTCGATTCGAAAAACAATCAATATAGAATAAAATTTGTCTTTTTATTACACATTTTTATCAAAACTCTATTCAAAATTCAACTTTAACAAAAAAAACAAACTCAAAGTTTCATTGAAAACTAACCTTTTCTTTTTTTATCGATAAAAAACAAAATTTTCTTCTTCTTCTCTCGAATCAAAATTCAACGAATGGAAACAAAATGCTATTACTGTAGCTGGTGGATACGGACGTGGACGAGGACAACGATTAAACCAACTCAATGGCCCTGTTGGAATCTTTATTGATGACAAGAAAAATATTTTCATCGCTAATTCTTATAATCAACGCATTGTTGAACGGAAATATAATGCAAATGAAGGACAAATTGTTGTAGGTGGAAATGGTCAAGAAAATCAATTAACTCAGTTGTATAGTCCATGTGGTTTATCTTTTGATCATGAAAGCAATATTTATATTGCTGATTTTGCAAGCAATCGCATTCAAAAATTTGATGTACTTGTTTAAAGTTTTCATTTTTTTGATAAATGAAATAAAAGAATAAAAAGAAAATAATTTAAAGGTGTTTTTTTCATTTTATTATCAAACATTACAAATGCCTTTTGCTTTTGTAATTATATTTTTAATTTTAATAAATTATAAATTTAAATAATTTCAATCAGTTATAAAACTATTTCTACTACACTTTTAGACTAACTTATGTATCTGTAGAATTTTTATATGAAAAACTCCGAAAGAAAAAAATTTATTCAGAACTATCTGTGTGAAACAAAGAATTTGATTCAAAAATAGTTCATCAAGTCTAGAGTATTCCTTTTCTTTTTTTTTGTAGAACTTTGTAATGGATATAACCAGCTCATTTCACGTTTACTCTCAAAATATATTTTTCATTATTTCGGAGAATTAATTAAGTTCTATGATTTTGTATCGTATGTAGACAAACGAAGAAATCTCCGATATTTAAATCAATAGTATAAGTTTTCTTCTTTCACCGTCTCTAGCGATTGTCATTTACCGATATTTATACATTTTTGTTATTCTAGATCAAATTCAACGTTCAGTTAGTTGAAAGTAACAAGAAACTATTTTTCTAATTACTATTGTGTCTGTAATGAATCTTTTTGTAACATTTGATTTTGAAAATATAATTAAAACTGTTACTTAATATGTTGTTAAATAATAGAGAAACGGCAAAAGAGAGAAAGACTAGCTAAGAGCAGAAATTGTGGTTTCTTTATATTTGAACACATCACAATATTTTACTGCATTCATTCTAAAATCAGATTGAGACAATGGTAGATTTAAACAAACGAGCTTTTTGGCATTTTACATTTAAAGACATATTAACTATTCTATGTTCAGCTGCTATACCCATAGCTCTTGCTATTTATACTGCAATTGGATCTCAACAACAAAAACAGGAAGCTGAAAAAACACGACAGTTTGATCTGGAACAATCAAGAGAATTAAGACAACAAACACTTTATGATGAATTTATAAATAATATTTTGAAATTGGATAATTATGGTTATCTTAAAGAGAAAAAAAATCCATGGGCATTTGCAAATGCATATTATCGTGCTGCTCATCGTCAATGGGATACAACACGTAAAGCAGATGTTTTACAATTTCTTAAAGAAAAACAATTAATTGGTAGAAACAGTTGTACTAATGGATGTAGAGCAACAAAACTAGATGATATAATTCGTTTGAGTAAGTTAAACTTTGATAATGTACATCTAGCAAGTCAAACTGGTGCATTACATCAGTTGGATTTAGAATGTGTTTCTTTTAATGAAATATCAATGTCAAATGCAGTATTTTCATCTGCTAATTTAAATGGTGCATCATTTGATGGAGCACGATTAGATCAGGTGAAATTTCATGGTTCATCTTTACTTTGTGCTAGTTTTAATGGTGCAAATTTATCGGGAGCAGATTTTAGAAACTCTGATCTGACAGGTGCGCAGTTTTTAAATAGTGATTTGTCGAACGCTAAATTAACTGAAAATCAAATGAAACAGGCATCTTTTGATAATGTAACTATGCCAAACGGAGAGAAGAGTGAAAATACGGTATCAATCACAACAAAAAAACCTATAACACAAACAACAAGAACAACAACAACATCAATCGGTCAGTAATATGCCACACGAATCATAGTACCTTTTTTAGTTACCAATCGATCAGTTCGTGTTCAGCTTAAGAAACTATATTGTTAGAACTTCCTGTTTCTTATTTGTTGAATATGTTCGATAGATGATAGGTAATTTTCAGATAACATTTCTTTTTAGATATTATTTTGAAAGTTAGTCATATTATATGTTTGTAATATTGCTAAAATAGTTTCATTTACTTTTATCTTTATGAGAGAGATTTGTATAGAGTGAAATCCAGAATCTTTTACGGAAGAACTCAGCTCGAAGCTACAGCAACTGGTGATAGGCCCACAAAATACAAAATTTGTTCAGTTTTAATTTTATATGTAGATGTCAATCTTTATATGTTAGATTTAACTTTTCTATAGATGCTTGGAGAACTAAAGGTATTAAAGATGCTACTATGTTCTATAGAAAAGTAAAGGAAGAAAAGTTTTATTTCTTCTGGATCCCTCTTGTTCAATGTCAGCTTCTTATGTAAACCTCAGAAAGAATCAGGGGTGAGCGTCGGTGTCGGTGTGAGTATGTGTATGGGCGTGAATGTGGCTGTAGGTGTGAGTGTGTGTGTCGGTCGGTGTGGATGTGAGTGTGAACGTGGGCGGTTGTGCCTGTAGGTATTATATTTATTTGTAATTAACACAAACCCCACTGACACCCACACCCACACTCATACCCTTGATTAATCTCTTACAAAAGATAAGACTTATTTTATTTGATTTGTGCTTAACTTTCCGGTGCTTAACTTTCTCGTGTTCATCGTTCCTTGTGCTCGTTGTTTACCAATCTATTTGATTTGTTGATTGGTTTGCTTTCCTTTGAGCTAAACTATTGCATATTAAATAGAATAAGACGGTGAAATAATATTTTTAGCGATAAAAATTACAATCTAAATCTTGTTTTTCTTGTTTATTAGCTTGTAATACTACATTTCATAATCAAACTATTTATTCACTTGGTTTAAGCCCATATGCAGCAGCAGTAGCTGATGTGAACAACGATAATAAACCCGATATTGTTACTGCAAATAGATATTCGGACACCGTCAGTGTTCTTCTCAACAGAGGCAACAACATTTTTTCTCCTCCAACTATTTACTCAGTTGGTACACGGCCATCGACAGTAGCAATAGTCGATGTGAACGACGACAATAAATCCGATATTATCACTACAAATTATGATTCAAACACCATCAGTGTTCTTCTCAATATAAATGACGGCACTTTTTCTCCTGAAACTACTTATGCAGTTGATGTAAATCCAGAGTCAATAGCAGTAGCCGATGTGAACAGCGACAACAAACCGGATATTGTTACTGCAAATTTCCTTTCAAATACCACCAGTGTTCTTCTCAGCAGAGGCAATGGTACCTTTTCTCCTCAAACTACTTACGCAGTTGGTGGAAATCCAGCGGCAGTAGCTGTAGCTGATGTGAATAGCGACGGCCAACCTGATATTGTTACTACAAATACGGCTTCAAACACTGTCAGTGTTCTTCTCAACATAGGCAATGGTACTTTTTCTCCTCAAACTACTTACGCAGTTGGTGCATATTCAGCGGCAGTAGCTGTAGTCGATGTGAACAGCGACAATAAACCCGATATTGTCACTGCAAATACGTATTCACACACCACCAGTGTTCTTCTCAACAAAGGCAATGGCACTTTTTCTCCTCAAGTTACCTACTCAGTTGGTTCAGGCCCATTCGCAGTAGCTGTAGCCGATGTGAACAGCGACAGTAAACCTGATATTGTCACTGCAAATAAAAATCCAGGCACCGTCAGTTTGCTTCTTAACACAGGCAATGGCACTTTTTCGCCTCAAATTAGTTACTCAGTTGGCGTAAGTCCACAATCAGTAGCAATAGCCGATGTGAACGGTGACAACAAGCCCGATATTATCGCCGCAAACTATGGTGGAAACACCGTCAGTGTTCTCCTTCACTGTTAAAATTTATTTCTCTAACATACTCAGTGTCCTTATTGACATATCGGTACTCTACCAACAACATTATTCTATGATTAGCCACTTAACAATATGGAGCAAATAACAATGTTCGTTCGATACCAACATTTTTTTATTATCAATGTTTCACGCAAACTCATTAATGCTTATACTTTCAGCTTCTTGTATTGTTTTCTTTTGCTTAAATCAATGAAAATCAAGCTGATTCTATCTTTTGATCAAAATAATAGTATGAGTACATGAGTGCGGATGTGACTGGATGTGAGTGTAAAGAATCACATCAATATCTACACTCACAGTTACATCTATCCTCATGAGTTTCCACTACTATGGAATCTAATGAGAAGTACCAACTATTAACTATCAACTGATTAGTTTGCGAGTTTGATTTCATCTTACGATTGCTTTTCATTATATATCATTTATCACTAATAAATATATTCTAATGAACATTTAAGTGTATACCTTCTTGATTCAGAAAATAGCCTTAAGAAAGATTCCTTAAGACATCTACACCCACATCCCGTTTGTTATGAAGGATAAAAGAGAACCCTTGTCTAATAGACAGTAATATTCTATGGTATCATTGCCTCACAGCACACATTTATAAGTGAATAATAAAAGAAATCGATCAAAGAATAAAAGTATGATCAGATGCGATTAAAGGTGATTCTTTCATTCGTGGGTGGGTGTGGGTGTGGGTGTGGGTGTGGGTGGGTGTGGGTGTGGGTGTGGGTGGGTGTGGGTGTGGGTGTGGGTGTGGGTGTGGGTGTGGGTGGGTGTGGGTGTGGGTGGGTGAGGTGTAGGTGTGGATGCGGGTACTCTACTCATTCCACACTCACGCTTACACACACATCCACATCCACCCTACCGCACACCATACCCTCACACTCACCCACACTCACAAATGAGAAAAAAATATACAGATATTTACAACAACATACTTGTTTCTAGTGAAAGTTCATATGAGTAGTTATTTTAATATCAATTCTATTTTTATTATTAATTAGAAAAAAAAAGTTTTTGATTTAAAATTTCAAATTAAGACCATCGAGTTGGTTTTCCTTGTAAATGTATTGTATGTATATGTTGTTTACCAATAAGAATTTTATAGAAACCTGGTTCTAACCATTTCGATCCATCATGAGCCACTGTTAATAAGGATTGCATATTGAATGGAAAAAATACTTCAGTTGATTCATGAACATTTAAATGTACACGTTCAAATCCAAATAATTTTTTTAATGGTGGTGTTTGATCATTGAAAGTTATTTGTGGTGGTATAACATATGCAAGAACTACATCATCACCTGCTACCATACCTGTATTTGTTATATTAACACGATAGGGATGACCTACTACATTCTTTTCATTATAATTATTTTTCATTAATGACTCAATTGAAAATTTTGATACTAATGAATCATTAGACCATGAATAATCAAATGTTGTATAAGAAAGACCGTCACCAAACTCAAAAATTGCTTTTCCTGTATAAAATTTATATGTTCGACCAGGATTTGTTGATGATGGTCGCATTTGCATATCAAACATACTAACAGCATTAACATATGATTCAGGATAGATTGTAATTGGTAAACGTCCACCAGGATTATATATACCAAACATAACATTAGCTAAAGCAAGACCACCTGATTGACCAGCATAACCCATCCAAATAAGACTTGCACATTCATTTGAATCACTTACATAGGATAGATCAAGACTACTTCCCGACATAATAACAACATGAAGTGGTGTACGAACAACTTTTTCGAGTTGTTCAATCAATCTAAGTTGAACATCAGGTAATGCAATAGATGTTCGATCATGACCTTCAGATTCCACAGATTGATCAATACCACCAAAGAATATAACAATATCCGATGATTTAGCTAATTCAATAGCTGCTGCAAAACCACTTTCATCACCATCTGTAATTTTACAACCCATAGCATATGAAATATTGATTGAATGACCTTAATATAAAAGAAGAAGATGAAATGATAAAGAAATAAATTGATTAAAATTTTACTTTGTGTTATTAATTCAAATCCTAAAAGAGGACTAATTAAAAATGGTGCGTTTCCAAAATAATTTCCTTGCATTAATCCAGTTGCATTAGCTGTTGGTCCAATTAATGCAATTTTTTTATTCTGTAAACCATTTATATCGAATGGTAATGCTTTGTTTGTATTTTTCAATAGAACAATACTTTGTTGTGCAGCTTCTAATGATAATTGTCTAGCTTCTTCTGTATCAACATCATTTTTAGATAATTTTCTATATGGTTGTTGTTCAGGTGGATCAAAATAACCAAGACGAACAAGAACATTAAATGTGCGTTGAAGTGCTTGATCAATATCAGCTTCAACAATTGTCTTTTTATCTAATGCTGTTTGAGTATTTTTTGAGTAAAAATCTCCACAATTAAGATCTGTACCGGCATGTAATGCAACAGCAACTGTATCTTCTACTGTTGATGTATAATGATGTGCATTCATAATTGTTGAAACAGCACCACAATCACTAACAACAAAACCATCAAGATGATATGATTCACTAAAATAAATAAAGTTATTTTTAAAAGAAAAAAAAATATAGTATTACCGTGCAATAGTTTCCAATATGAACTTATTAGCACATGATGGAACACCATTAACAGCATTATAACTACACATAATACTTGCTACTTTTGCATCACGTATACAAGTTTCAAATGGTGGCATATATGTTTCAATAAGATCTTGATCACTAACACGAGCATCAAAATGATAACGATCTGTACCATTCCAATCTTCTAAATCATAAGCAGCATAATGTTTACAATCTGCAGCTATTTTTAAATATCGTTCATCATCACCACGTTGTAAACCATTAATCAATGTATAAACATATTGTGATGTTAAAAATGGATCTTCACCTGGTGTTTCTTGACCACGACCCCAACGTGGATCACGAAATATATTTATATTTGGTGTAAAAAATACTAAACCAGCACGACCTTCATTATTAAATGCACGTGCTTCATTTGATATAATACTAGCAATACGATGAACAAGACTTAAATTAAATGTTGCACCAAGATTGATAGGCATTGGAAAACTACTAGCTGCTGGTAAATCACCACCAAATGCAACACCAGGTGAATAAGCTACACCATGTAAAGCTTCAGACCACCATTCAAATTTTGGTAAACCTAAACGTGGTATAGCAGCAGCAGTTGTTACTAATTGTGTAATTTTTTCAGCTGTTGTCATACGACTAACGACATCAGCAGCTCGTACACGAGATGGAAGAGATTGATCACATATAGGAAATGTTGAAAGTGGACCTGATTTACAATCAGGAAAACTTCCTGTTTGTGTATTGATAGTAATAATATAAGTAAAAAGTAATATTAAACGAACATACATCATGTTTGTTGCCTCTTTTTTTCTTCTTCTTATGAATGTTCTAATAAAATAACAATATTTATTTTATATTGTGTTATTTAGATAAAGATAAATAAAAATAGAAACACTGAAGATTTTTTTTTTCTTTCTAAGATAATACATGAGATAACTTGTTCATTGATAGTAAGCGAAATGAGTCGAGGTAGTTGTTAAGACAATATTTGTTTAGCAACATATATTTTAAATAAAAGAAAACGCTTGAAATAGAATGTAGTGGTTAATAATCATTATCCTAACATTTTCAGTATTATTAATATTTGTCGTGTAACAGAAAAGATAGTTTATCTATGTCATTGTTTTTATCAGACGTTTTTTATTCTTGTGTAAACCACAATCTCAACGATGTCTTTTATATTAAAAGTACAGCTATTTTGTTATATATAAATAAAGAAATATACATACCTTTCTTTTTTACTTTTACATTTACATGTGACACTTTATTTTTAACTCATATTTACCTATCATTTTTTGTCGTTTCTTTTTTTTTCTTCTCGTCGAAAACTAAGTATAGACAATCACATGTTTGTTTATTGATAATAGAAAAACAAAAAATGAAAATTAAAGGAGATATTTTATGAACACTTAGATTCACACTATATATGCATAACAATCGAACACGATCATTTTATTTACGATTTATTTTCTCAATAGTACAGATTATCTTCACTATTATCATATATTTATAAATGATAACTGTACTCGTTTAACAAGTACAAATTTTATTTAAATATATTTTAATGATAATCCAAAAATCTTCAAATGAATCATTCTATCGTTATAAAAAGAATAACATATCAATGTAATACTTTTACATTTTTGCTCTTTCTTATTTATTTTATAACATGGTAATATACCCTTTGAAATAGTCAATCATACATTGGAATATGATAAAGGTTATTTGATTCTATAAAAACATAGTTTCATCAATATTCTTCTTCTTTTTATCATGTCGGAACTCAAAACAATTAAAACTGACGAAGAAATATCTCCAGTAAAAATAAAAAAAAATAAAGGATGTTTAAAACATTCATTATATGAATGGCTTACTCTACTCTCATCACTTTTTGTTCCACTTGTTGTTGGAATTTTAACAGTTGTTCTTCCATTACAACAACAAAATATTAGTGATCATCAAAATGAAAATTCGAAAGCAATTGCTTTAAATAATCGTTTACAAGATCTAAAACTATTACAAGATCAACAAAAACAAGTGATATTAAATACATTTGAACATGATTTATGTAATCTTCTTCTTAAATATAAGACAGTTAAAATTTACAATGATACTTCTTCTTCTCCTCGAGATGATGATGATGATGATGATGATAATAATGATATTAAAGAAGATGATAATGATGATGAACGTATATCATTTATTATTCGTACAAAAACATTACACGCATTAAGACAACTTGATCCAGCACGAAAGATTTTACTTATACAATTATTAATTGATAGTGGTATTCAAAAACGTATTAGTATATCTCGTGCAGATTTATCATCATTAATATTTCCTCCAGGTTCATTTTATAATCAATTTCGATTTGTAAATGTTGTTGCTCGAGATATAAAATTAAAAAATGTTTATTTATATCAAAGCAATTTTTCATATTCAATTTTAGATGATTCATCATTTTATGAGTCAAATTGTTCGTATGCAGATTTTAGTCATGCATCATTACAACGAACTGATTGGACAAATACTGATGTTACTCAAGCAATATTTAATTTTACGAATTTATTAGGAGCTAAAATTACATCTCAACAATTAGCTACAGTACATAGTTTACAAGGAGCAGTATTACCTAATGGTTCAACTGCTATTATATGATTATTTTTATTTTATTCGATAAATGCCATCGTAATTGAAGAGATATAAAATCAAAATATTTTTTTCTTCTGTATTAATGTTACGAAAGATCTAATAAAAAAACTAATCTTTCTTTGTTCTTCTGATTGAATATATTTAACTGGTTTCAAATACTATTAATAAAATATATGTAGGTATAAAAAGTCAAAAAGAAACGAACGAGAAGTTTTTCATCGTCTGCAATAAAACATATAAAAATTGAATAGGGCACATTTACATCTTTTTTTCATATTGCTTTCTCTCTATAATGGCAAGACATGAGGACTTTATTGAATCTGGTCTTATCTAGTTTTTGTATTCATGTATAAACTGTAACATAGTATCACAAATAGATTCAAATTATGTGTATAAATTCATATACAACAGTTACTATAACCTTAAAAATATTTAGTATAATAAATCTTGTTTTGTTCTATTAAGATTTGGCTAGTAAATAAAGATGTAAATAATCAGAGAAAGGTGTGAGTGTGAAAGTGATGCTATAACATATTTCGATCTCTTTATAACTACACTTTAATTCAATTGATTAAGAAACGATATTTCTAATGAATTTGACTGAACATTGAGGTTTTTGATGAAGCACTAAAAAATCTGATGTTTTTTCTCGTTCGGATAGGAGGAGGTAGCCACAAAACGCGAAGACGAAAAAAAAGAAAGAAATATCATTTGTTTAGAGCCAAACGAAGCGACAAGCAGTCCATAGAAGGAAAAATGATTAAAATAATATAGTTCAGTATATTTTATGAGTAATGTCTTCTTTTATAGAAACAATTTCTATAGTTAGAATATAATTCATTTGACAAGATAGTGAAGCTACATTAATGTACAAGAGATAAATATTTATTTACAATGACTTTTATTTGGAAAATATCACAAATAAGATAATATTCGACGTCATCAACAAAATCAATGAAAAACAATAGAATATATCTGTTTATTCCTGTTGTTGTCAATGCCTACGTTCACTATATATGAAATAAGCAGACGCAATTGTTTCTCATCGAAGAAATATGTTTACTGAGCATATAGATGAAGTCATTAGTTAATATCACCAATTTTTTTTCTGTCTTTCATGATATTTGAAAAATACTTTAAAAGGACAATGTAATTAAAAACAGAGTAATTTGCAGCAGAATATAACTATTTTTTTTCTTTTGTTAATATCTTGATGCTAACGAATTCAATCCTCTAAATAGTTAAAGAAACAACAATAACATAGTGTAGTTATGGATGTATCATTGTTGTTGGAAAAAAAACTTGTTGCAAAACGTACGGCGCTTTTTTCCGGGAATGAATAATTATTAAATGAGAGAGAAAGACTGTTGTAGAAAACAGAAGAAAACAACTAGTGATACAAGTTAGTCAAACATTTATAAAATATTTTAGAAACTAAAGAAATACAACATGTTTTGGATATTATTTATTTTATCATTATTTTCTGTTTGTAATTCTATTCTTATTACTAAAATACAAAATATTATAATAGTTGGTAATATGTATAATAATTTACTCAATGTAACAGAAGATCAATGCATATGTGAAATGATCAAAGTAAATGATTCAATATCTGCTTTGAATTATTTTTCATCAAATCAAACTTGTCAATTATATCGTTCAAATAGTAGTACAATTTATGTTGAACTTTATCTAAATTCTACTTTTATATTTCTTAATCAATCATCAATGTCAATATTAAATATTCAAGAATATCGTAAGTTTTCATTTCGCAATACTACAAAAATATGATAACTATTTATAGACCCAAATTCTAATAATTTGACGTTTATGTTTTTTAAATTCCAAAAAAATTTGCTAATATATCAATGATATTTTCTGTTGACTGTAATTTGTAGTATTCGCTAGTGATTAGTATCTGTCTTCGGATTGTATTGCACTACATTAATCTCTTTTTTCCGAAACAGAGCCGAGTACAACATCATCAACACCAACAGCAATATCATCAACATCAACTTCAACAACAACATCAACAACAACAAGTGGTGAGTATGGAGTTAAACACTTAATACTTCTAATCATATCAAAGTCAAATAAATAAGACGAGTTTATTGCATAGAAAAATTCTGAAGATGAAAAAACTGATCTTTCTACAAAGGCAAGCTAGTATCTATATACGAAGCTGAATGTACTAGTTGACGTTTTCTAACTTCTCGTGATTCTCTAGACTCGACTGTTTTATCCTTCTCTAAACATTAACTAAACTAAAAAGTCGGCCTGTAAAACGATGACTTTTTGTCTATAAATCATACAAAAATATTAAAATAATTTTTGTCTTTAATAGTCTGCAATAATACGTTTCATGATCAAGCTACTTACTCAGTTGGTAGTGGTCCACGCTCAGTAGCGGTCGTCGATGTGAATAACGATAATAAGCCTGATATTATTGTAGGAAACTCTGGTTCGAACACTGTCGGTGTTCTTCTCAATGCAGGCAGTGGCACTTTTAATACTCAAACTAATTACTCAGATGGCTCTTCTCCATGGTCAGTAGCAGTTGTCGATGTGAATAGTGACACAAAACCTGATATTATTGTAGCAAACTTTGGTTCGAACACCGTCGGTGTTCTTCTCAATGCAGGCATGGGCACTTTTAATACTCAAACTAATTACTCAGTTAGCTCTTCTCCATGGTCAGTAGCAGTCGTCGACGTGAATAGTGACACAAAACCTGATATTATTGTTGCAAACAAAGGTTCGAACACCGTTGGTGTTCTTCTCAACGCAGGCAATGGCACTTTCAATGCTCAAACTACGTATCCAGTTGGCACTAATCCATCCTCAGTAGTAGTCGTCGACGTGAATAATGACACAAAACCTGATATTATTGTAGCAAACACTGGTTCGAACACCGTCAGCGTGCTTCTTAACGCAGGAAGTGGTATCTTTAATGCTCAAACTAATTACTCAGTAGGCACTAATCCATGGTCAGTAGCAGTCACCGATGTGAATAGCGACAACAAACCTGATATTATTGTTGCAAACTATGGTTCGAACACCGTTGGTGTTCTTCTCAACACGGGTAGTGGCACTTTTAATGGTCAAATTATGTATCCAGTCGGCAGTTCCCCAGTATCAGTAGCAGTCGTCGATGTGAATAGTGACACAAAACCTGATATTATTGTAGCAAACACTGTTTCGAACACCGTCGGTGTTCTTCTCAATGCAGGCATGGGCACTTTTAATACTCAAACTAATTACACAGTTGGTACTAATCCTCAAGTAGTAGCAGTCGTCGATGTGAATAGCGATAATAAACCTGATATTATTGTTGCTAACTATGGTCCGAACAGTGTCAGTGTTCTCTTGCATTGTTAAGACTTATCAATGACTAACCTTTATTTATTCATTAACATTTTACTATTCTACTAAAAACATTACGCTTATAAAACATTATACGATGGAAACTGCTATTTACGCTCGCTCGATATTATGAATTTCAACAAAACATTGCGATTATGGATAATATTGGCAAATACACTAGTATATTCATACATTGGACAGTAATTCATTCTTTAATAATAACATTTCTAGTTATGGAACTTTTCTGAATACATGGAACTATATGTATTAGAATTACTCAAAGTGCAAAACACTATAGAAAAGTTTCATAGGTTTAATTATTTTTCTCTGATCTGTTGAAAATAAGATCATTCATTTTGAAAATAAATAAACTACTGCTGATTCTTTGAGAGAAAGTCTACTTGAAGATGTGACTAGTGTGATGAGAATGATAGTAAAGAAGAAAGTTACTCTCACATCCTTCTAAATATAGTTCAATGAAAATTGAAAGATCTATTGGAAACTATCTAATATCTTTTAGTCCTCTAGATTTCTATCAATATAAATTTAAAGTACGATAAACCAAATGAATAAAATAGTTTATCTGATTTAATTAAGATTCTTACTTTTTTTCATTATATGTTCAATATATAAGATAATATTTAAGATTTATTATTGATTTCTAAGCCAGTATCATTTCTAATTTTAGATTTTCGATACGTTATTAAAATACATCTACCGCTTTTATTATACCCATAATTTCTAGTTGTTTACCAATGCTTCTTACAGAATCATTACAACTAATCATATGATAAGAATATTATCATCGATATCGATACCATATCAATACAACTCTTGTCTATATACAACTATTTGATACAATAATAAAACTGTTATTGAAAATATGTGTACAGTATATATTTTTCTATTGAATAATAATAAGATAAGATTCCTTTTAAATATCAGCATTGAATTGTGGAAGAGCGACCTCTCTAGTGAAATATTTTACTTTGGTTATGAGATATATCCATTCATTATTATTTATATTTGAGTATATCATTCCAAGTCCAAGAAGATCAAGAAATGTCATTATCAGTTGATAAACGATAAGAAAAAAATATGTAATATTTTAATTCTATATTGAATCAGTATTTTTAGATATTTCATTTATGTATATACATATGACATCATTATCCTCACGTGATATTTTATTATTATTTGTTTAAAATTAGTAAAAAACATCATTTTCTTATATATAACTTTCGAATGATTCGATACTATCTTTATCATTATTATTATCACCAATTTTTACATTTCTAATCAAAAATGCAACTTAATAATATCATTTAGACAAAAACAAATACTAATGTTAAAATAGATTTATCAGGTAAAATGTTTCCTCAAGATTTAGTAATTCAAAGTTGAAGAACAAATAAATCAATAAAATGAAAAACATTGTATGATATTTAGTTTTAAGAAAATGAAAAATAAAATATAATATATAATCTTAATTATATTAATACATATTAAAATATTTGTAGATGATGATTTATGAACGAAATAGTAGTGCAACAACAAATCATCCACTTACATTTGATACGGGCAAAAATCTACTTAATTTTGATTGTCATTCCATAGCCTTTAATGATCAAGAAACACGTCTTTTACTTGTCGGTAATCATGATCTTGCATTTATTAATTTCGAAACAACTACTTCACAAATTGATCATATAATTGGTGAAGATGGAAATACCTTTATACCATCTTTATCTGATATTAAATTAGTATCCTTATTTGATACATGTAATATTAATCGACCAATTGTTGAATGGAATCATTGTGATACAAATCAATATGCTGTAGCTATCGATCGTATTGTTCGTGTATATACTGTTGATCATTCACGTATAAATGAAACAAATATGGTTATTGATTCACATCATCAAGTAAGAAAAGTTCTTGAAAAAAAAGAACAAAGTGCGTCGGCCGGGAGTCGAACCCGGGTCGGCTGCTTGGAAGGCAACCATGCTAACCGTTACACCACCGACGCCTTGATAATACGAACATTATTTTACTACTTAATCGGATAAATCTGAATAATACTTAATGTTTTCTTTTTCTTTTTGTTTCTAGCGTCCTATTTCAACAATATCATATTCACCACATGATCCTTGTTTGTTATTAACAGGATCACTTGATGGACAGATTCAAGTTTGGGATACTCGCAATTGTACATCAAAAAGTCCAGCTAATTTGAAATTTACACAATCAACACCATTTAGTATTCGTCGTATTCAATGGTCATCAACAAAATCTGAGAATTCAAATCAATTAGCAGTTCAATGTGATCGTTCTATACGATTATATGATATACGACGAACAGATTCATGTTTATTTTCTTCAACTGATTTAGAACATACACAACGTATAATTAGTATGGATTGGACAAAACAAAATCATTCAATTGCTACACTTTCTTTGGATCATTCTATAAGAATGTTTTCAACAAGTGGTCAAATTATTGCAGAATCATTGCCAAATGAACAATCTCCTTATACATTTAGTAAAGTATGAATAACAAAATTTGACTTAGTTTTATTGATTAAAAGTAAACAAATAATTTAGATTCGAACAACTGCTTACGATAATTTATTTATATGTGCATCACGCGATTCTACAGCATCAGCATCAGCAGCAAATGGTTTTGTTGGTTGGCGTTGGGATGAAGATCAATATTTACGACCATTAACGGATCATATATTAACAATAACTCCATCACCAATTGTTGATTTTTGTTTTGTTACAAATCCACGTTTATTAACTTTATTTAATAATTATTCATCATCTCGTTTAAATGATGAATCAGTAAATCGTTTTCTTCTACTTACTTGGTGTCGTGATGGACATTTATATTTAATTGATATGGATTCAACATTTCGACAAGCATGGACTAATCAACAAGCACGTAGTAAAAAGATCAGTCAATCCGATTCATCTAGTTCATCAAGTATACCACGTACATCATCAAATTTAAATCGACAACAACAAACAACTCGAATTAGTTCCACGAGAGCGCCAATGGATGCTATTAAAGATGAAGTAACTGATGGTGGTGAAACGGATGATGATGATTTTCAAGGAGTGTCAATGTCGCCAGACAATACAATGGAATCTTCTGATCCAAATGATGAAATTAGCGATTCCGTTTTGTAAGTAATACTATATACGATTTTTTTATTAATTTTATTCTAGAAAAAAGAAACTTCGTCAACAAAATATTTCATGTATTTCTAGACTTGATCAAAGTAATGATACAGTAACAGAAGTATCCGTTAAAAGTGAATTAAATTCTTTACAAAATGAGTATGGTCCATATATAACTGTTGAAGGAAAAGATGAACAACGTCGTATGTGTGTAGTTCGTTGTTTATATTCATCAGATCATTCTCTATCATTTCGTATATATCTTTTCTTATCACGTCATTATCCTACTATATCACAATTATTTGTTCGTTTTAAATTATCAACAATATATTATGATGAACGTGTAAAACCATTTCAATCTCATATACAAAAGATGTTTGATGAAGTATCATCAAATTGTTTTTATCATGGACAATTATGTTTACATAAATGTTTAATAAAATTAAAATCTTTATTTGATATACATCATAAACAGGAAAATATACTATCAAGTATAGGAACAATGACAGGTAATTCAAATAAAAAACGTGAACAATCATTAACAAGTTCGGAAAATGATTCATCGAATGGAATACTCAATGATAGTAGTAATAATATCAATAATAATAATAATGCAAATATTAATAATAATAATAGTACGAATGGTTCTAATCGAATATTTGGTCCATCATTATCAGCACGTACAAGTAGTAGTCAAACGTCAGGTGCTTCATTTGGTCAAGCAAGTCGTCGTACATGTGGTGCACGTTTTTCAAGTGCTACACATCTAGTATGTTTTGGTCAGATATCGAATGGTCAACAAATGAATTCAGCATCAATTTTAGCTGGATTAAATGATGGATCAACAAATCGACCACAATCATTACCTTTGCGTTCCACAAGTTTAACAGTTGCAAAAAGTCGAGAAAATTCAACTTCCATTGAACAATCAAATTATCGACCACCAACAACAAATACAATGCAAATTCAACAAACATCCAATGCACAACGTTTACCAATGTTTTCAGCACCTGTTCGTTCAACATTAGGCACAAGCGTATTCAATGATCATCAACGTATGTCATCTTATCGTCCGTCACTAAGCCAATTAATTCATCCATGTTCAACTGTTTCAATATATGATGTATCAATATTATTACCTGTTAGTAAAAAATTAGCTGATGATTATAAAATTGAGATAAATAATCCAATATATATGTGTGAAGAAAATGGAACTTTAACACAAGCAATGGGTAAAGATGAGTTAGCACATTGTTGGCGTTTACTTAATGGTTTATTAGATATACAACCAAATTTACAAGCAGATGATCCTTGGTTTCAAACACCAATTGCTCAAGGTAAATTGAAATTTAAATAAAATAAAAAATATTTTTTTTTGTTATCTTTTCCTCCTTTTATTTAGGCTTAATCAAACATTTAGTATCAAATTATGTTATGAATGGTGATATACAATCAGCAAGTATGTTTCTTTTAACAATGTCTCAAACACCCTATTTAAAAACAAAATTTCAATCAAAATTAATTAATGAACATAATAATGATCCTGTTTTATATTCTTATGCATGTTTATTACATCGTTGGAAACATTTTTATAGACGAACACAAATTTTATCTCAAATTGATCATAATTGTCAATCACCTGCACCAATAAATCAAATATCACCAATTACAACAGCTATTATATGTTCAATTTGTTTAAAACCTGTTTTAGGTCAACATTTTTTATGTGCATCATGTGGTCATGGCGGACATTTAACACATATGCATGAATGGTTTTCATCTGACGAACCTAAACATAGATTATGTCCAGAAAAAGATTGTATATGTAAATG